CGGAAACCACGCGGCTCGTCGAGCATTACAGTCAGCGCCGTCAACAACACCAATAGAACGAGCAACGTAACGGCTCACCAACAGATCATCACCCGCAACTCAATCCGTAAAGTTGCCGGATACCTAAAACGGCCCTTTTAAGGGCCGATAACAAACGTGTACTGTCCCCCCAAGCGCGCCTGCCTAGACCACGCTTCCCATCCGGAACTATAGATCGACGCCACTTATTCGAGCGGGCTGATCATAGTCAACCGGGTCGCCCCTTCATTGTTCAATTAAACCTATACCCAACTTTGTAAGGACCGCCGCGCATCCATACACAACCTTGTCGGTGTGGGAGCGCGAGCCATCCATTCCCCTTATATTGTATATAAATATTTCCTTATCATAGAAATAAACCAKCARATGATACCATAAAGRCATTTGTATACTTTATTTGAAGTAACGGATGTTCGCTTCCGGTGACTCCGTTACATTACTTATATCAAAATGTCATGATGATAGTTTTTGTTTCTAATTTTATAAATAGTAAATATATTTTTTACAAATTTAAACAACTAATTGTTTTAGAAATATATTTTCATATTTTTTTAATTCAACGTATTGAAMMACGATGTCCTATATTTGAGACATTTTTTACTTTCTAAAATAATAATGCTTTCWACACTTGAATAGTACCAAAAAAACAAAAATGTTAAACAGCRTGCATACGCGTTTTCATATTATTTTATCATGAAAACCGTAAAATCGTGTTCGAAAGGGTTAAGCGATTGTCTCGTTTTCATTTCAGATGAATTCTCTTTAAGCGATCATGTTGATTCCATTATAGTTCCAGACGAACGATGTTAATTGATTCTATTCCAGACGAACTAGGTCTTGAATCCATGAACGATAAACCGACCTATTATCGGAACCTTGTCGGGTTGGACMGSTCAGAGACTTTAAATACCACGTGGGTGGTTGGAAATAAACTCAGAAAGTTTCAAGTGTCAAAAATAAACTTTTAAAGATTTATGTATGATATATAATTGTTGAGCTGTAATAGTTTTTGACTAAAAACTAATTAATAATAATAAAAACGTTTCAATAATGTCAGAAATGAACTTTTTAAGTTTTAAACACGAACAATAACGGTRTAAGATTAATATGTACGGTATATGGATACGAATACGAAGATACATTTAACGGTACTAAACGTTAATTTAACTAATCGATTACTTTTTTTTTTTTACCATAAACAACATTTGTATTCAATCGTTACCATTATATAATAATATTAATATACTATCCAGTCAACATACTTACCTATTATTTTTACACACACATGCTGACATGCGAGTTATTATTTCTAAATCTGAAATGATTAAATTCAATGAAGATATTTTTACCATCTGATTGAGTTAAGTGTTAAGAACCTATAAAGTTCATATATATTATTCATTATAAACCTTATTATTATCATGATGATGCCAGACTTCTCAGTGTCGGACGAGAATCGTAAATATTGTATTTTATCGTCARGACAACTGGTTATATCACTGCATTTTTCGAMAAGCTATAATCGGACTGAACGGACACAGACGGGATGCACAAGCGTAACGGTCACTATATTGATAAAAAAAAAATGTTTTACTGCCCTGCGTAAAGAAGTTTTACTTCAAAAACTAATATTATTCGACAAGTAGGTACCTATTCTTGAAATATTTGGTGTGGTTATTTAATATAATAAATACAAAAATCAGGATCAAATCAAAAATATACTTATGTTTCAGAACAAACAAATATCTTAATTCGATATTGGTCAAAGGTTTATAGTAAGTAAAAATATGAGAATTTGTATATGGTAGATAGGTACTAACTACAAAGATACTTTTGTAATATTTCACTAATATTTTTATTCATTCAACTTCCGATGATAGGCGTAAATACATACATTAATAATATCATATGCTTTATAATATTATATGGTGCTTTAGAGATCATAGATTTTGAATATTATGTTACATCACTGCTATGGTAGAAAAAAATGTATTATTAGATAACACTTAGGTGTTATGTCGACTTTGACGATTCGTTCGAGTATACCTTTTATTTTTAACTGTGCGTATTCTGTAATATTCTGTAATGGGAAACACCTTAGTATGGGATTATAGTCTTCGATCGCCAAACAATAAGTTCAATTAAAAAGTGCTTTAGAGTTTAGATCAATATGTTATCGTGTGCAAAGTCTCAGCAGATTGAAAGTAAAAGAATACGAAAACTCGTAAGTTGTCGGAAAGGCGTCAGACAGCTCAAAGTTTAGAACAATAATCAATTTGTAGTTTGCTACAGCATCACTCGAACCGGCGGTACAGCTATAGGATAACTTTAGTGGGAAAGAGTGAGTGAGAGAGAGAGAGAGAGAGAGAGAGAGAGAGAGAGAGAGAGTGAGAGAGAGTGATATGAAGTGAGTGACAGCAATCTAGGGGTGGGTCGGCATTATTATGGAATTAACGACCCTCGTGTAGCTGTCGTGTCTTCGGTTTAACGCCACTACCCCTCCAAAGATATCCTTATACGCGCGTAGAGTTATATAGCGTACATGTATTTGGGCTTAACGTACACACACATATACACGAACGTGTGTAACATCTGCGCCAGCTGCCAACCCTCTGTTTAGAAAATAATACATTTAATTCTACAGCTAAAAAATAGAATAAAAWAATAATAAAAAATGAATTTATGATTTATTTGCTAACGATTTTAAATTGTCATTGTAACTCAATCAACGCTTARAAGTCCGAGGTACATCTAAAATATTGTGCACCTACCTCTGTCGACAATTTTATTGACTTAATACCTGTTATAATAATAACAAGAGACGACCTATAGCGACATAAAACATCAAGAATTTGCGACCTTCAAGTTTATATCATTATCTTCTGCGGACTGCGATACGTACAACAATGAAAGGTTACGTATTCTTTGATATACATATTTAAGACAAGTCACRGCCATTCGAATACATTTTTCAACGGTATCGAGTAAGCTATTAAAATCACAATAAATTATTCATATAACTAAGTATATTTAGAATTTAGGTACAGAGTATAATATAAATAACTGGCAAGTGTAAATAAATAACTATGAATACCTACCGTTTAATCTTATTGACATATCCTTTTTTTTTTTTAATAAGTAATAAACTAATATATATATATATAATTATAATTAATTAATAATAATCATAATTAAATTAAACTTACTTTAATCCAAGAATTACGTTTGTGGTRTTTGACGAAATATGTGTTTATCAGCTATATTTTATATCAGCATAGACTGCATAACTACAAGATTGAACATAAGTTTTTGCAAATCTAATGGGTACCAGGGGTACCTAGATGATTTATTATTTTTTAATCTTAAATAAATCGTATAGTTTATATTTTATTATATACAACCAGTAATTTTGTTTTTTTATAAAAATGTATGATATTATACTCTAATAAGGGTAGAACAGTGCCATCTGACGGTAAAATAATTTAAATTTCTCGTGAACTAAAATCTATAGATGACGCTTCACTGATAGAAACCAAATTACTATTATCTACTAATCTTTGAAATCTGTTAAATAACATTTATATAAATCTGACAATTTTTTTAATGTAACTTGTGACCACTTCTGAAGCTGAAAGGTCATTTTAAACTTTAAAAGGCAATAGACTAAATGGATTAGCAGCACTGAAATTAATTTTGACACAGCTAGATGACGTCATAAAAGAGTTAACTTTGGGAAAAAGTCGATGACATTTTGTCATTTAAAATTTGTATTATTTTACTACAATATATTAAAATAATACAAAATTATTTTGTAAAATGGAGTGACATTAAGTTTGACTGCTAGAAGTGTATTACTTTTATGAAATAGTTTGAGGAAAAAACATTTTAATATTGAAGTACATGTGTTAAATATAATATAAATACATTGCATTTTTTCTTAACTTGAGAAAATTCTAAGATTTGTATATTGTTTGATTATTTGGAGGAAAAATGTTACCATTGCCCCTCCCTCCCACTCACAAGTGCCATTGACCACCGAAAATAATACGCCACTGGTGGTATTTTATGAATAATCATTGATTWTAAAGACTATGGTATAGTTTATATTATAACTGCAGATGGTATAATCTTTTATTTAATAATAATATAATTATTATAATGTGAAATTAGTTTAGATCGTACACGCCACGGGTTTGGTCGTCTGGACAGCATTAATTGTTCTTGCAGAAGAAAACCGTTTACTTATAGTTCAGCGTGGTTTTGATCTGTATTGAGGCAAGGCCGCAGGCGAGAAAGAATAATAAGACCTCAACAAGTTTAGTATCGTTAATTATTATTATTATTTTTGAGCGAATTT